GTCACAGGTGCTGTTACTTCTGCAAACTGTACTATACTCTAAGAAAATAAATGAAGTCCCTTTAAGATTGAATGCTACAATCCACAAAAAGATTAAGGTACCATACTGGGAAAACAGTTCTCTTGATAAACTAAAATTCCAATTTACTAAAATGAAAACATATCTTAACTTCATATCTTATCTGAAAAATAGTGACTGATTCATGCTAAGTTCTGAAACTACTTTGGGCTATAAATTAGAATGAAACTAAATTACTGTGACTATTTCCCTTCTTTAGAATTCATTCAAAATTTGTATCCCCCAAATAGATACCTAAATGTTAAAGGAACAGGTTCTTAAAAGGCTAAATTAAAACAAGTGTTAGTAATTATCTTAGTATTTGGGTATACATGCTAAAATAGCAACTAACTAAAATCAGGACCCTATTTTTAAATAGGGTCCTGATTTTAGTTAGTTGCTTACAAAATGAAATTTACTGTAATGGAATGTATTTTAAACAAAATAACTTGATTCTGTAAAATAACTTAAGAAGAGCTTTTTCTAAAGACATTAGAAAAAGGAGGAGTAGTTTCCACACTGTATTATTAACCAAAGGGGAAAAAATTAATATCTGGGTATACAGTATCATTCTAGTGTCATGGTTTTTTAATTTTATCATCACTCAGCACTTTTTACCTTTAAGCAATTTCATGATGAGCCTGCAAGTAGTCAGTTAGTAATACTATGTTTAGGTAGAGAAATATTTTCAATTTATTAATTTATAATTAAAGTTAAAATGTAATGAAGGAAATAATCAACCATGATTCCAGAGAATTGATGATGAAGAAGCTACCCACCTTCTAACCACAGATCTTCAAGCCATGGAGTAATATGCAGAATGAGACACAATTTTGAATGTAATCAACGTGGAAATTTATTTTGCTCAACTATGCTTATTTGTTACAAGGTTTTCATTTTTGGTTTTAGTATAGGGCAAAATAGAAGGGAGAAAAATAAATGCTTGATAATAGAAAAATAAAATTTAATAAAAATCATAATTCATGCTCAAAAGGGCAAATAAAATAATAGCTATCCTAATTTTTAATCAGCCATGAAATTATAAACATTTTCATATTTAAGTGGAGGTTTAAATCATATCATAACCTAAATGGTGTAAAAATCTTTGAATGATTTTTAATGAGCTTACAATTCACAAAAATATAAACTTGTGTGTACTGAATATATTTCAATGACCACATATGTAGCATAAATCCTTTATCATTAAGTAGAGAGAGCTACTATATTTTAAATGAAATTATAAGTGGTTCCAAAACAGGAAAAAGAAGCCTTGTTTAAACTACATTCTAAAAGGAAGTAAGGGAAAATATATCAAAATACTAAAAATGGGTCAGAATGTATTTCAGTTCAACTAGAAACTGAAATAGTTGTCAATTGAGACATCTAGGCCCCACTTCTCTATGAGAAAGATGTAGAGGGTAGAAATTTAGCAACTAAATAAGGGAAAACCCTCCAAAAATACATTTTCAGACACAGATTGCTTCTCAAGACAAAGTGTAAAAAAAAGTACACAAAATAGCTATAAATACATTATAAAAATCTAAATGCACAGAATATATCAATTTTTTTTGATGTTCCCAGATTTACATCTAACTGGGCATCTCTAATAATAGCTTTTTGCCTTTTTCTCTGTAGGGTCCAGTGACAAACATGTCCATCAATGGAGGACCAGTCCAACTAAGTCTGGAGAAGTTCATCATCAGTTTGGCTGTGAATTTTTGTGACATGGGAACTCTCAAAAACCTACTAAGTCCTAGATTTAATGTGATCTCCAGCAGTATCCTTTGACAATACCAACTGCCAATTGACACTGATGGCAGGCAAGCCAGTCTAGCTACAAGCACAAGATGTCTGTTCCAAGGGAGAAATATGCCATGCCAGGTGAACCAAAACATTACCATGATTTTGACTATCACCTTCCTTTTAGTACTCCTGTTAAGGTAGCCTGGGACCTTGTGCTCAAAAGCCCAAGGAATAGTGGTGTCCCCAAGCCACTGGGCATACTGTAGTTATTCTCCAGGGGAGCAATTTCTACAGAAAACTGAGCTGGCAACTCTCTCTGCAGGTGCTGTAGCCTATGTCTTTATTACTTAAGACTCAGACAATTTTTGCCGTCAAAGTTCTTGGCACTATCAAATGTTTTTTTTAAATGATTTACATAGTCTTCAATTAAAATAAATACTAAATAAGATGCATTATCATCTGCCCTACCACCATTCTAAGGATCACTGGGTCTTTCCAGCTGCCCTTTAGCTGAACCCTGTGTTATCTCCTCCATTAGAATGTGAGCTCTGAGAGAACAAGGACTGACTTTTCTATGTATAACCCCAATAGTATAGTGATTGGCTTAATAATTTTTTCATTCATTCATTAAAGTTATGAACTATTTACAGTATTGAAATCACAGGTCATTAAAGTTAAGTTCATATTTCATAAACATCTAATAAAGATTCTTTAACTGTCAATCAATTTTTTTTATATTCTCCAAACATATGTACTCACTGTAGGTATAATAGTGGATACTGAACTAAAGAAAAATGACTTACAAAAATCAACTCATCCTAAAAACTACATTGTATTCAGCATTTATAGTAAGAGTTGTATCTGGTAAGCAATCACACCTGACCATATACAATACAAACTACATACAAAAAGGCGTGTTAATAATTAAACAGATCTTTGCATCACTTAATAGTTTAAACCATAAAATGTACCTCTGATTCTTTTGCTAATAACAAAATACATGGGATATGTATATACATGATTTTTTGGGGAAAATATTTAATAAAGCTGCTCATTTTCTGTTCCTACTAATTTGTGGAATATTGTAGAAATTGTGAAATCTAAACATCTCTTCATACTCAAAGTCAGTCTAATGTGCCCCACCCTAATAAAAGTCTTGCTCTGGAATCTCATAGGAACAAGAAGACTCTAAAGGCAAATTCATCAGTGTAAGTTTGTCTCCTTTGCCTTTTTCAATTAGAACTTCACAAGGATGATAATTTTGACACCTCTACTAAAGTTCTACTCTGTCTCATTGTGACACTCAAATTAACGAGATCTGAACCTTTCAACTGAACATCATCAAATAACCCATGGGAGAATTTTTTCTAATTTTTTAGAAATTTTCATAATGATTTAACTGAGAAGTAGTTCATTTTAATGACTAGGCAGTAAAGAAAAAAAAAGCTTTGGATTTGGAATCATAGGATTGAATTTCAGCTCTGTTATTTACTACATGTGTAACCTTGAGCAAGTCATTCACCCTCCTTAGGTCTCATTTACCTCATTTGTAAAATGAGGGGGTTAGATTAGATGATCTCCAAGGCCCCTTCCAACTCTAAAGCTAGCCATGCTGTACTATGATACTGATTGTATGTGATCTGAGTCATTTGTGATTCCCATGCTCTTATAATCATACATATAAATTATTGAGTCATCGGTATTATGAATATAGTTTGTATGGTGTAAACATAATTCTGCTGATCCATATTTTTATCATTGGCAGGGGTTATTTTTACTCTCTTAATCAGCCTCATATTAAATACAGAGGCCCTTGATCTCTTTCCACCCTTCTGTCATCTGGTGTAACTTTTTAGTTCCACAAAATCCTAGCTTCAAGATAGGAGCATTTTGATTTCAATTCAACAAACTATTAAGGTGTTACTATGTAGAAAGCACTTGGAATGGTAATTTTTAAAAGATTTATAATATAGATAAAGTTGCCTGCTGGTAATCACACTGGGGGCATTGTCTCGTTTGGGGAAGCCCAGGACTCAGCTAGAAACCAATTTACTCCATCACAATGTCTGAAGGGTAACACTAAGCACCCATTTGAAGACTGGCAAAGTTTGTTGTTGTTCTGGTGTTTCTGGAGCAGCTATGTAGCTTTCATATTTTTAAAACAAGGCCTAGGATCCTCTTCTTATATATATAAGCAGAGAGAAGGAGAAAAACCTGCTCATTTTCCTTCAGGTCCCCACCACTGATGCTAATTGATATCTCAGTCAGCTAGTGACATTGGTGGCAAGATGGAGCTGGCATCTTTATGTACCACATTTATAGGACTCTATTAGTACCTCTGGCTTTGTAAACAAGCACAACAAATTAATATTATCCAACCAGCTCAAAATCTATGCTAGATATAAAAGAAAGGGGCCAGAATGTAAGAATTTTAATATAAATTGAAAATACCAACTTCAGCTTAAGGCTGAATATTGGGAGCCCTTCCTTCATCTCCCCTCCCCCAAAGATTTATGGGATGATATGAGTAAGACTTGTAAGAAATGAAATGGCCTGACTGGGTTGTATTCTGCTCTATTGGAGAGAATATCTACATCACTAAAATCACAGCTCCACTGAAATAGTGCCAGCCTTTACATTGAGACTACTCATCAAAGACATCACAAGGACCTATGATTTCTTTGTGGACATTTCCTCCACTGACATAAATTGTAACCCCTTAATAGCATACTAGTCTTGGAGAGTTGTGCCAGGGTGTGCTGGAGCCAATTTAAACCCAGTTTCCACCGCCAACTGTTAAATTTTAGTGTGATTATTTATACCTCAGATACCAGAAAATGCTACAAATCAGAACTTGAGTTATTATTTTGTTGTTTGTCTAGACTTTAAAGTAACTAGTAAGCTGGCCTTAGAACCAGGATGACCTAGGTTCAAGCTCAGCCTAGGAAACATATTGGCTATGTCATAGCAGGCAAATCACTTAACATCTCAGTGAACTAAGAGACTCTATAAGTTTCAGAGAAGATGCCAATTTCTATTGGTAAAAGAAATTTCCTTTCTTTGGAGTTCCTTGTATCAATAAAATCATAGGTCCAGTACTTAACACAATACATTATATAACTACATATTAAAAAAAAAACACCCTCAAGTAAAGTAACCAATGGAAGTTCTGGCATAGATTAAATAAAAGCTTTACTTACTGGTGGGAAGTCAAAGTCTATCTGGTTAGCTAAGTTTAAAATGTAGTCAATTCGAAACTGATTCTCTGGATTGGCTAGCTCAACTGGAGGTGCCAAATTTCCCATTGCTGTCACTATTGTCTGAAAACAGGTAAAACAAACATTTTAGTAAACAATCAATTACAGAGCATTGTTTAAATAAAAAAAGAAAAGATTGTGTACTTACCTCTATAGCTTCTTTAATATTATTTTTAATATCTTGAATTTTCATTTTTTTCTCCCTATAATAAAAATAATTGCAATATTTTGTTTTAGCAGGCTTTCTTTGTGGAGCAGGAAAAAGTACCACAATTAAAATTATTTCATTTTGTCTTTACCAATAAATATCTGCATGTTTGACTAAGATCTTAAAATAAAATTATCTTGGCCTGTAGCACCAAACCATTCCAGTTTCAATGATATTCTTTAATTGTGTATGAACTAAAACGATCATTTAAAAATTACTTGTCTTGAATGAGGAATTATAGTAGTGGTAACATCAAATATTACTATTTAAAGAAATTTTTTTTGTGCAAAATACTAATACCTGAAGGTTGTTTACAAATGCACAAATAATTGAGAGGGAAAGTACATAAATTTTCATGATGGAAGAGACTAAAGAGAAGGACAATTCTGAGGAAAAAAATCAAAGATCAATGATGAAATCAAATACTAATAAATGAACTGAAAAGAGAAATGAGAGCAAAAGCAAGTGGAGAAGATAAGTTTATGGTATAATAACAAGAACCCATATACTGATTTATATAAAAATGGTAACTATAAATGAGATTTTGATATAACTTTACTAATTTTTCCTAAGAACATGAAGAACCAGTACAAATTACTAAACAGACAAATAAGATAAAAATCAAGATTATACAACAGCACACAATGGACTCTGTTCTTTTTTTTGATAAGTAAGGCTTTGTTTATCAGAAATTATACTTTGTATCTAGTATTTCTGAATTAACACCGAGAACTAAGGTGAAGTTTTTTTGGTATTTTAAAAATTTTATTGATTTTAGCTCCTCAAAACTTAAGGAGAGAAGAATGGTGTGCTTAAGAGCCAATTCTTTTATAAATTAGAAGAAACATGTAAGATCATATGGAAAATTATTCATATAACATCACAAACTAAATTTTCATTTAAGCTTCCTTAAACCTTACATATTTACATAAAGTAGTTTTCAACTGCTCTAAGATGGGGGACTTGGACTTTAATTAATAATTAGTAAGTCTGATAGGTAATTGGTTATTTTATTACTAAGAGACAACAATTCTGCATTTTATAAAAAGTTTTCCTCCATTTGCAGTCTTAATTGTTTTCAGAAAATGTACAGACTCATAAAAATACAGGTAAACCTTTAAGTGAAATAAAAAACAAAATATATAAAACTTTATTTAATGTTAATAACAATGATCTTTAAAGTGAAATTCTGTGACTATATAGGATAAAGAAATAAATCATTCTTTCAAGTTAAATGTGAATCTCATTAAAATTGCATTAATTTTCCCACTTGAAACCTTTTTCTGGGGCTATGAAAGTATTTCAAAGGCAAATTATACTATTTGAATAACCACTAAATATAACTGCATATATGATACCTCCTGCCTTAACAGTACTGTTTCACATTATTCACACAAACGTAAACAGATGATAAAACTGGAGATTTGTTTTCAAATGATTTTCCCCTAGTCATTCTCAAATTTTTACTTTCATTCATGTTTTCTTTTAACAAATATTTATTGAGCACCTGTCATATGCATAATACTGTAAGGAATTAATTCTTTCAACAAACAGGTATCTCCAGCTCCTTGGTCTTTCATTAGCCTGTATGAAAGATACTATCTTGGGGCTATAAAACAAAGATTAGTAAGATATAGTTGTTGCTCTTCATGAACAGAAGGTTTTAGCTATTAAGCTTAAAAGGCCTGACTGTATATAGAATTTTGCAGTGCTACAAAATCCCAGAGTATACTTAACTCTACTTAAATTGTTCTCTACTTAAACACTAACAATATTCAAGAACAGTTATGTAAGTTCCCATTTATTTTAACTCTCTAAACATTATGGGCACTAAAAATTAATGTAAATAGACATACATTTTAGAAAACCATATGGTTTATCATTCAATAGCCAATATGACTCTTCATGTTTTAACTTCAAAGCTCAAGAAGAAAAAAAGAATTAAAATTGTAATAAGAACTAAGAGAAAAAAAGGGAAAACTTGATCATATTTATTCATAATATCTCTTTTATTTTTGGTATTTTCACTCTACAAAGAAAAAAAAGAATTCAAGTAATCACCTAGACTCTGGCCTACAATCATCTTTCCCCACTTTCATTAATCTTTGCCATTTTCTCTCTTATTCACTGAATAACTGTGACACAATGTTGTAAAGAAATGAAAGATTACAAAACAATCCTGCTTCAGACATGTACTTAGCCATGTGATCCTGTGTAAATCACTTAACCTCTTGACCTTGATTCTCCCATCTGTAAAATGGGGATAATATTAGCACCTACTTCACAGGTCATCAGGAGGATCAAATGAAATAATATCCATGAAACACATGACAGAGCTTCAAGCACTATAATATTATTAAAGTCACCTAGTTCAAATCCCTTTTCTAAGAGATGAGGAATCTGAAGTCCAGGAAATTTAAGTACACAAGTCATTCCTCCTAACAGATATAGTTAGGAACAAGAATCTGACATCCAATTTAGTGCTCTTTCCACTACACCAAAAATTAAATGTAATTTAGAATGTTTCTTTTCTTTTATCCTAAAAGTTACCTTTTTACTAAGTGCCACTTTAAGGGAAGAATAAAGAATTAACATGGAGAGTATATTAGTGAAGGTATTAATACCAGTGTACTATTAAGAAAGAGAGAGAGGAAAGAAGATGGAACTACCAACAAAAGTATTGTTTACATTTAGGATTTCCTCTCTTTCCAAATACAGGTTTGAATCTCTAGTAACCATGTCTCATTGCTCTGAAAGTTTCTTCACCAATGCACACAGTACACAAAACTTGCCAAGCCTGCTCCCTAACACTCAACAGTTTACTGTACTAAATGCCCTATGTCATCATCGAAGGGCAGATGAAAGGAAAGCAGAAAAAAAGAGAAAATGGATATAAGCTCAAATTTTAAAACTTAAATATTCCACTTATCACAGGTCCAAAATGGACAACTAGGAATTATGGACAAAGAAGAATATATTTACAGTCAGTTCTGATTTATGGATTATGTTTCAAAAATATATCTGTAAGTCAATGAGTTTTTCTTTTAAACTCTGAAGACATATTTCCACAGAAACAATGTTAGTAATTAGATTTTTCATACTAGTACACGAATGCTTGTTAAACACAAATATAGCATCTATGTTATATATAAAATGAAAAATAGTATAGTAATTAAACAAAGGAGAAAAGTTAGTAATAAATAAGTGAAAAATAATCTTAGCACTGCAATTGGAGAAGGCCAGCAAAAGCAAGACAAGTAAGGAGTGTTTGGCTAGGGTATTTAATTAAGGAGAAGGAAGAGTCATATGAATGTACCCTGAGAGATTATCTGAGTTGGATGAACTAAGCTGTAAGTAGATGCAGAAAAGAAAGAATTTAGCATGCAAGATGGATTGACAGTCAAGAGTAAGTCAGGTAGTTCCCTATGATGGCCACCAGGTGGTACCACTAGTTCAGGGCAGCTTGGTTGCAGTATTTCCAATAGGAAAAACATCTTTTCATTTGTTTATTTACTTGCTTATTTATTTATTCAATATGTCCGTCTGTCTGTCCATGTCTATCCATCCATCCATCTATTTATTTATGAGAAAGGGGGGGGTGAAGAACTACAAAGTAACTTTGAAATAAATGAAAGGAGGCAGGAAAGAGAAACACTGTATATGCCACCACACCTTTTAAAATACACTAATTTGTATCTATCAGGCAACAAGGTGGCACAGTGAATAAAGTGCTAGTCCTGAAGTCAGGGAAAATTCATCTTTCTGAGTTCAAATCTGGTCTCAGGCACTTACTAGCTGTGTGACTCTGGGAAAGTCACTTAATTTGCCTCAGTTTCCTCATCTGTAAAATAAGCTGGAGAAGGAAATGGCAAATCACTCTAGTATCTCTGCCAAGAAAACCCCACATGGGGTCACGAAGAAATGGACACAACTAAAAATGACACACAACACAACAAAATTTGTATCTCTCTTAAGACTACAACCAAATAATAAACTCAAGCTATTCTAAATTGCTTTGTACTATCAAATCAGTTCAGCTATAATTGATAATTCTTTTAGCAATGTTGTAACATTAAGACTCCAGCTTTAATTTTAACACAATATAGTAAAACTATTACAGAGTTTTAGATGACAAATTGATGTTATATGCTAACATCATATAGAACCCAATGTTATGAGAAATTCCTCAGTAGTATGAGAAACCTTTAATTAAAAAACCACTTAGTAATTATCACCATTTTTATAATAAAAATAAACTTTGTCCCTAGTCCTAGTCTCACTACCCCTTTGTTCTCACATGACAGAATGTTACGAATATACCAATACATTTTGTAGTCTTTCACAAGAGAAAACCTTACAATAATACTAAAGTACCTGATGGTTTGTTTGCTGTCTTGATATTCACCTCAGTTTTAAAAATAAGAAAAAGATATCATAAATGTCTTCACCTTGGCATAAACATCTTCTTCCTACCCTCATCTTCCTTCTCCCTAATTAGCTCTTCATTTTCCCATACTTCAAACAGAATCACAAAATTTTAGAGTTTGAAGGAACCTCAGTGACCATTTAGAGCAACTCATACGTGGAAAAAAAAATCACCACAACACACTCAGTAAGATGTCATCCAACATCAGCTTGAACAACACTTCAATGAGGACAAGCTACTAACTCCAAATTTTAAGTTTTTCTTTTCTTCAAATTTGCCTTTGTGCAACTTTTACTCAGAGCTAAACAAAATACTCCATATGTGATTTAATCAGAGTAGAGTAAAGCAAGATTATCACCTTCTTATTCCTAGAAGCTATGCTTTTTCTTCAGGCAACTCAAATACACATTAGCTTTTTTTTTTTTTGGCTGACATATCATCATGGACTCCTGTGAGGAAACAAGGTGGCACACTGGATAGCATTCAAGACTTGGAGTGAGCAAGACTTGAGTTTGAATCCTGCCTCAGACACTGTGTGACCCTAGGAAATTCATTTAACTTCTCC